TCTCCTGCCTGTCTCTCGGCAGCTCATCACCCACGTGGGGAGAGACCGAGGTGTCGTTGTAAAACGGGCCGCGAAGGGATGCTCCGCGCCTGCACCTCCCGCCCGTCTACACGGGACGCGTCTCCTTTGGGCGTGCTCCAGGTTTGCAACCCGGAGCAGCGCCGGCCTTCTGGAGGCTGCTCCTCGTTCAAGCTCCTCTTGCAAAGAGACGGATCCCGCTTTCCTCATCCTGGGAGTCGACCAGTGACTTGTGAGCGCTCCCAAAGCGTGTTTCTATACGGGAAAGTGTGGGCAGTCAGCCTCAGAGTGGGATGCTCCCCTGGCTCTTGGTTCCTCATTCCCCTGCAAGGTGTTGTCCACCCTCTTCCCAACCCCAGCCGGGAAAGAGAGGGGACTGCGGGAAGCGATTTGCTGCATCCCGTAAGCCGTGCTTCGTGGCGGGGAATTGTCCATGCCGAGGGAGTTGTTCTTCGGGAGGAGCTGAGCTGAGAAGCTCGTCTTTGCTAACGAACCTGCGGGCGTCTACAGTAAAGAGCGATGGATCCTGACCGAAACGCCAGGGGACGGGCAGTAAATTACCTTCCACTGACGGAGGAGCACTTTCATTCGGACCAAAGTGCACTTTGCATGCATTTTGCATGCTCTTTAAATGCACTTTAAATTAATGCACTTTAAACTCAAACCCTTAGTTAATTCAGATTTGCCTGCCTGAGTGGTCCCCTGCAGACATGTCCCAGCTGCAGGACCCAGTCCAACGCCTTCTGAAGATGGGAGAAGGGGCTTCGGGTTGGCTTCATCTCATGCCCTGTGGCCAAAGCCATAGTGTTGGGTCCAATGTCCTTCTTCTATCCCTGGAGAGAGAAGGGCACTCACATGTTCATCCTCCAAAGACAGGAGGAGGATGAGAGAGATGATCCACATCTGGCGGTCCACCTTTCTCCATTGACCTTGGAAGGAGCTGAAGAAACCAACCCAGGCCAACATTTTCTATTTAAATAATCAACCCCATGACTAGTGCTGGAAGCAACTATTCGTCCCTCCCCAGGTCTTCCTTCACTTCAAGGAGTGAAGTGGGACTGGCCCAACCTGCTTGAGGCTGTGCAGAAGACAAGGACATGATGATGGAGAGGCCTAATGTGACAGGGATTTTCTGAGCTCATTTCTGTCTGATTTTTCACCCGATCCGCTCACCGTGCAGCTGCGTGCCAAGGCTGTGGGACGCAAATCCATCCTAGAAGGATCCACCATCCAAAAAGCTGCTCTAGATCAGCCACATCTGCGGGGCGGCAAGGTGCTCTGCTGCTCTCTCTCATCTCCACGTTTCTTCCTGAAGGGAAATGATTTATTTAGCTCCTGTCCTACTAACTTTCCCCTGTATTGATCCATTGCCAATTGGCCGTTCTGCAAGAGAAATGAAGCCAACAGCTAAGGTATTAGCTGTTAACACGTCAGCAGACTCTTAAAAGGACATATCAAGGGGATATCTTCTTCCTCTGCGACAGAGGGAATTTGCCAAGCTGTTTTTGGAATGAGGTGAAGATGTTTGGGGTCTGGCACCTCCATGGCGTCACACGGGTGGTGGGATGTGGGTGGACAACCCCATCGATGCGGGAATTTTTGCAGGTTCCTCTCAGTGCCTCCTTGCACAAACGGCTGTGGCATTGTGAAGGTTGGATTGGTGCTGTGCCTGCTTTCATCTTGCATCGTGGGGGTGTGATTTTATGATATTAATTAACGGTGTGGACACTTCTCATCTGCATAATGTTAGACATTTATTAGACGTGCCTAAATGAGGAGCATCATGCCCAAACTCCTCTATATGGTCATGCAGAGAGACCAGGACCTTGAAGTCTAAGGAAGGGCTAAATTCAGCTGCTTATTGCAAACCCCTAGGATATCTCCCAAAATATGCCCAAAAGAAGTGTCTTGCCTCCTTCCATTGACCGGGCAGGAACTGAACACCCAGTTAAACCCAACACTGGATAGTTGATGAAGCCGGATGGATCCTGTCCTTCAGGAAAGTGGCTGAACCCCAGCCTCAGCATCCTCTGGAAGGAGGAGAGGGAGCTGAAGGGAGGTGGACACGGAGGAGCTGACATGTTGTAAATCCACCGCTGCATGGTGTGCTGGCAGAGCCAGTGAGCCCAGCAGCACCGAGACCTATCTATAAGGGGACATCCATCAGCATTAATCCAAATCAACCTTTAAAGTAGATTAGCTAGAGCACACGAAGCCCCTTTCTGGACACTTATTCAGAATTACAGTTGGTTTAATTCAGTTTAGCTTAATTCGCAAAGCTAAACCGAATTAAGGCTGGCTGTGTTTTGAATGAGAAGGTCCATGCCCGGGCTTAATATAATTTAGCTAGCCCACTTTAAATTCACACCCTTCGTTGATCTATACCCCTCCAGGGAAGCAGCTTGGCAGGTAACCTCAAGGTAAAAGTGACAGCGTCTTCTCTTCGCTAGGGCTTTGCTCTGCTTGTTGTAGGCGAAGTCACCCTTTCCCTGTCGGAGCCATACGCTGGGCTGCCACCTGCCACCCGCCTGAGTGGTGGCCGCTCCGAGAGGTCTTTCACGACGTGTCCGGTAGCGTGATGCGAGACCAAATAATACGCAAGGACAGGGCCGTGAGCGACGGGTGGAGCAACAAGGAAAACCACTCTCGGATCATCCGTGTGTCTCTGATGGCAACCGAGACCATTGCACAGCCCGTGCATGGAGGGGAGAAGGTCCTGACGATGGTAAACGGGATCCTGAGGGACTTTTAGTCTGGCAGAAGGAGGCATAATAGGACACAAAGCCCTTGGGGTGGAATTTTCCAGCCCTGATCAGAATGAAGCGATGGGGTTGATGGAACACCTGGCCATGGTCACGATTGATTGGCAGGGGTGAGCAGAGGATTCAACAGCCCTGGTGGATGGGTCTCCAGGGATCTACACCCCCTCTGCAGGCACCGGCCACCCCCCAGGTTCTTTCCAGACCCCATTTTCATCAGGCTTCCTCACCAGCCACATCATTTCACCACCTCCATCTACAGCCTGGTCCCCCAGACGTCTCACCAGCATCACCAAACTTCGGAGCAGGCTGGAGGGAGAAGACTTTCCCAGCCTGGATGTCTTCTGCAGCCCCTGAGAGGTGCCTTCAGGGGGGTATTTGGACCACTCCAGGCGCAGGAGATCACGAGCAGGATGGGACCCTCCAAACCTCCAAGGAAACGATATCTACAGTGGAGATCGCACTGGAATTTGGCTGCAAATGACCCCATCAAGCTGGGCACCAGGAGGGGAAATGCCTCCACCAAGGCTTTGAGGAGGTTTCTTGTCTTCTCCTTATTAATCACAGAAAAGAAAGCAGGTCCCTTCCCCTCCCATAAATCTTGCGGTGGCGTCAGCCCTGTCTGTCCGACCCTTGGCTCACGCTGCTTCCCAGCTCTGCTCCCACGACAGACAAACCGGGGAGGAAAACTGCCTGGCAGCACCAGGCTCCCACGGGTTTTAAGCACATGCTTAAAGTTAAGCAAATGTTTCCGTGCTCTGCTGAGCCCGGACATTAAAATCCTAAGGTTTGCTTTAAATTCCTGAGCTGATTTTCCTGGTGCCTCGGGAGGGTCTTTGCCTCTTCAATTTTAAAGGTGGGTTTTCTGTAGTTGAAAGGAGCAGAAACTTTATCTTTTTAGGGAAAATTGAGGCTCCCGCCCTGTGTCTAGGCAGGACCTGGTGCCTTTATCACAAGGCTCCTGATAACTTGTTAAGAAGCCTCAAAATACTGAACTTGGGAGGAGTTATGAACATTTTAGTATTTAACCTAAGAGCTAACTCAGCGTCTCCACTAGCTTTGACAGACCGTCTTCAGATGTGGTTGATGGGAACCCAGCAATCGCCAGTCTAACCTCTCTCCTTTTGCTTGTCAGTGATGGAGAAGCGAAGCCCTTGCTGGATGCAGCAGTCTGCTAAACATCTTTAATCAACTTTTTCTATGGTAAAATTGGCTATGATGTCCATCCATCCATCCATCCATCCATCCATCCATCCATCCATCCATCCATCCATCCATCCATCCATCCGAAAAGAGGAGGAGGAAGGTCTGGGATCTGGAATAGGCATGGAGCTGGTGCAGCTCCCTGTGCCATCCCCCTACTTCTCTAAATAGGGCCAAAATATCCCCGGTGTCTTCACATCTAAATGTCTTGTTTCCATTAGCTGATGGGCAGCTACTGAAGTATCTCAGCAGAGGGGTTTTAACATCAACCGCTCTCCAGGTAACCATTTTGATATCTTAAAAACATTTTATTATAAAGGCAAATGTAGGTTTTAGCAATGCTCAGATGGCTACTTAATGTCATGTTTATCCCAGGCCAGACGCTTCTCAAAATGAATGAGACTTGAAGATCCAGGTTCCTCCTTTGTTTAATGGACTTTAAGTTGTTTAAATCATCAGCTTCACTTAAATGTCTCACTTAAATAGGATGATCTATTTTTCTCCATTAAAAGTTCATTCATCACAAGCAGGGGATGAGTCTTTCCATGAAGCCCCGATGGAGAACAAAAACAGCCACGCTAGGTCATGGCCATGGTTTGGCCGTTTCCATCCAGAGATGAACCATTTCTTGGTAGAATGGGCCCAAAATCGACCAAGAGGCAATGATGCAACCTCCATGCTCCCATGCACTGTGGCTGGGATGGATACTCTTGGCTCTGGTGCTCTGATTCATACCCTGGACCCTTTTCCTTCTCCCATACCTTGTCTTTGAGCTGGAGACCCCCAAAAAATTCCCTGTCAAGACACTCAGCTTCCTTGGTCCTGCCATGGTGAGATGGTGGAGAACTACTGATGGGGACGAGCTGGTGGCAAAGGCCACAGTTGTGTGTCCAATTCGGCATGGCCCATGGAGAAGGACCACACTCACCTCGGAGAAGAGCTGGGCAGCGAGGAGTAAGCCAGGTGATGGGATTGGGGTGGCAGAGTCTGGAATGGTGTCGGCTCCTGCTGCTGGGTTTTGCATTCAGATTTAGGATATTGTGGTGGGACCAGAGCAAAGGTCTCCACCAACATGTTCAACCAGCCCTGTGATGGACTCTCGATCCACAGCAACTATTCAATCCCAACACTTTCCTCTTAACCGTAAGAAAGGAGAATCCCTGCAGCGTAAATACAGACCAACACAACGCTCACAATCACCCCTTTTATTCCCTGTGCACCCACAAATTTACAGCAGCCCTCCCCATAACTCACAAAGCCCCCCCCAAGCCTATTCGCCGACAGGCTTTGCCTCCGTGACTTTGTATTCTCCTTGCAATATTCATGCGCGTAGGGTAGAAATGTAAATACATCCAGGCTGTCCCCCTTTGATTCATGCTTTGGTACCAAATCACATGTGCTTCCCCGTACGCCATAAATCTCTTTACGGTAACTCCACCTGAATTGTTCTTTGTGTGTTTCTCGGATCAGGATGAAGAACTGCGGCTCGAGGGGAGCTGCAGGCCCCCCCGCTTCCCACCAGTGAAATATTTCCCGGCACGTGCACAGGCTGACGTCTTCAGTGGGGTGGATGGGATCGGCTGTGGGCTGGTCCAGCGTCTCCAGTGCAGAGCTCAGAGAAAGAAAAAAAAAATGCTTTTTGGTGATTTGATGTGCTATAAACCCTGGACTTTGTTGTCCCATCCTGGGGACAATAACCCGAGAGCCTGAGGTCTAGGCTGGGAGCAGGAACGCGGCCAGGGCAGCGTTGGAGCCAGGCTGAAGTGGGGTCAGATGTCCCCTTCCCTTTGCTGTTAGCCCAGTCATCACCTTGAGCCCTTTCGGCTGCTCAGAAGATGAGGTCCATACACTCATGGACCCCAAAGTCAGCGGAGGGAGCTAGGCACGTCCAGAAAATGGTGTCCAAGCCTGGTGCAACACCCTTGGGAGCTCAGCTCAGCCACGAGCCCTCTCACCTCACTGTGACCATGCACAAGCCAGGACTTGGTCTCCACTGGTCCCCAGGGCTGGCTTGGTGGCCAAGGGAGAGAGGTGGGAGCATCTCCTGGGAGGGTGGGTGCATCCTCAGGTGGGCACAGGGGATAATTGGGGCGTTTTCTCCTCAGCGGCAGCAGGATCTCCCCAGGAGTGCCCAAGTCCCCCCAGCCAAAGAGAGCTTTCAAAATCCCACCCAAAACCACCCCGTTCTTCCCCAGAAAGCGCCAGTCATGGACCAGGGCAGCTCCATCCCAGCAAGGGCTTGAGCTTTGTGTCCCCCGAAATGGGGCAGGAACAGCAACGTGGGGCTGGTGACCGCCCCTTGGCTGAGCACTCGATTTTGGAGGAGGTTTGGAGACCCCCACACTATCTCAGGGGTCCCTCGAGGCTTGTCCGCTCTCTGACACGGGACGCTTCGCATACCAAAACTCCCTCTAATTGAGATAACACAGAGCGAAGCCTCGGTGGAAAACTGGGCTGAGTTCACTGCTCAGGACAGATTCCAGGAGAAAGGATTTTTTTTCTTTTCCTTGAATCCTAGGAGAAAAAAAAAGGAGAGAAACCCTCACGTACTTCCAGGGAGAGCAAGAAAGATTGGAGACAATTACAGAGCCCGGCACAAAGCCCTCAACATCTTTCATTGCATCGGCAAAATTAAAACGCGGGGAGTTGAGCATCGAAAATTCGCCGGCTAATAACAGAAGTAAAAAGTTGTTAATCAGGCACGTGACCCTATAAAATAAAAGGAATAATTGAAAAGATATCTAATTTATCTATTGAATGCCTCCAACGCTCTCTTTATCACTTAGATGGACAGAATATAATTGGGACGGTGAAAGCCATCAATCTTAGGAAGTGGGCTTTCTGTACAAGATACAACTATTACTGTCATATTATGACACCATAATATCAAGATCAATGACATTTTAAATGCACTCCAGTTATGGGCAATTGGTGACAATAAAAACAGTGACAAATTGATGAAACAAGCGCCAAATGATCTGGTGTCTAAAATAAACCATAAATAATCTGCGTTAAAAAAAAAAGATCTCCGCCGAATTCGCGGTGGTTGGGGAACTTCTTCCACTGATCGATTTATCCGGGGACTGAATTATCCAATTTTCACGAAGGGGTAACTTTCTGGGTTGATTTAGGGGTCATTCCCATGCAGTTTAATAATGTTATCGTTAGCATAATCGTTGCCATAAAAAGCAAGGTTCTCATTTAGCCGTGGAAGTTACTCCCAGCTGAAGAGCCAACACGACTGTGCTGTAAACACGGAGGCGTTTTTTGACGTACCGTGGCACCGGGACGGCGTTATTCCCTCGTGGTGTCCGTGGCCCTTCAATAAAACTAATAACAGCGACAGCAACGACGCGTGGAGCTCGGCGGAGCTTTCTGCCGGCGAACCCGGCCGTGCTCCTCGGGTGGCGAGGGAAGCTGGGGGGTAGGAGCGTGCCAATCTCCTGGGAGAATCATGGTGAAATCCCACTTTTCCTTCTCTCCTGGGGGTCCCACCAACTCCCAGACCCCAACTGTCGCCACCTCCCACCGGTGAGCAGAAATAAAGGACCCCAAGGACAAGTATGGGAAGGGAGAATAGATATGGCCTGCGGGAATGCCCCTTACAGGAATGGGTC